ACTTTCTAAATAATTTCTTTAAATTAATAAAATTAAATCATAAGAAACTTGAATAAAAATTGATATCACCATTATAAATATTGTAACAAAACAAAATAAATATTATTCTAAATAAATAGAAACTTTATAAAAATTGATATTCTTATCCAAAAAAATTTTTTAAGTATTTACATTACAATGGAATATAATTTCTAAAAATTTCCTTAAAATTATTTAAAAGAATAGAAGCCAATGATTTTCATTGAGGAAAATAATTTCATTGATTCTAAAATAAATATTGCTAATAATCTGCTTATTATTTATTACTATTATATTAAGTTCGATTTTGCATGCGAACGTGCACATAAATAAGTCATTATAGAGTTAAAAATCAAACAAATCCTTTAAAAAAGGATGATGAATGTCATTTGCAATATAATCACAAATTATGATAATCTTATCGCATACAATACGCAACTATTGTATATATTGTATATTGTGATTTCACTAATCATTATCTTTTGATGAGGAGTAAAAAAGGAAGAAATAGAGAGACATTATTAAATTTTGATAATTCGTTGAATTATTGAATTTTTGTACGATATTGCTATTAATTTGAACAGATCAGTTGAAATTATCAACAATTATACTGTTTATTATTCATTGGGGAATTCCTGTCATAAATATTTTTCTTTTAATAGGAAAGGTGCATGTTGCGGCCGAATTGTTTGAAAATTCAGGTACTTTCAGAAGTAAATAAAAGAATATTTGCTTGCCTCAGTACATCGTTTGCACTAAGGGTCGTGAACACAGGTAGAAAAAAAAAAATATACCGTTATACTCCGTTCTTCTGTAAGAACCATGATTTTCTTTGGATGCGTTCCCTTATTACTTTTTGGTCAGTAAAATTTCAAGAAAACAAACGAAATTAACAAAAACCACTATGTTAAATATTATTTTATTCGTTATAAATATAAATAGATATACATCATTATGAATCATCTACATAATATATTATAATCATCTACATATTATTAATACATATTATTAACATATTATGATATGTCATTATAATTAAATATATTTAAAAATTACTTAATTTTTATAAATAAATAAATATATATATTATAATTATATAATTTATAATTCATAATTTATTAAAATTAAAAATTTCTATATATTTTCTTATATTTTCTCTTAAATAAAAAAAAAAATATATAAAAAATTTTAAAAATTCCTGGAAATACTTATCAAAATTTCTCTAATTTTTATCATTGAACAATTTCTGATTCATAGTCTTAGATTTCATTGACAAGAATTTATATATGTATGTATTTATAAGTATTTATATATGCATTATTTTAATAACTCATATAAATGTTATGTTATATTATTTAATGTTATATGTATTATAAATGTTATGTTATGTTATTTAATATGTTGTAGTCACTGAATAAATCAATACATGGGACATCATACATTTATATATCCGAAATGCGACAAAAAAATCAAAAGAAGATAGAGCAATTAATAAAAGAAGAAAACAAAAATGATCCTATAAACGGTTAAAAAAGAGAAAATAATAATTCTTAAATACAAATTTAGATATGGAATAATTGGTGTAAGAATGGAAGTCTTCAATGCAAATTTTCAATGCAAAATACTATAAGTCTCTGTTTATTTCCCACGCTACACAATACATAATATTTTTACGCACGATTATAATGTATAATTTTTTCATATCGTTTCGAATCATTCTTATTATGTTAAATAATAATTTACTATATTTTGAACCATTTATATAAGTGAAGATTGATATTCATACATATTTTAAAATTATAAATAATTAAATAATAATATTGTTATGTGCTATATGATAATTAATAATAATTAAAATTTATTAAAAATTTTAATGAAAACTAAAAATATAGTAAAACTAAAAAACTATAAATATAATATTAACTAATATAAACTAATATAATATTAATATTAATATATTATATATTAATATAAATAAAATTATATAAAAATTATATAAAATTATATATAAATAAAATATTAAAATTATATAATAATTGAA